CATGCCCGTTGCTGGTTGGCTAACTAGCAACAGGGTCTTGCCAGCCAATGGAATTGTGTGATTACAAGCCAGGGGAATCCCATAAAAGAGGGCTCCCCTGGCCCAGAGAGCCAGTCCGGATTTACTTTATGCCTTGCCAATAAACCAAGAGCTGACTGTCACTCGACTCGTGTCTTACTGCCTGCGCGATCCAACAGTTGTTTTTTAACTAACTTTCTTCCAGGATTTTTTTTAATATTACCATCTAATACCTGCTGCTACTCCAACCAAAAGATTTGTGGTCCAGAGACTATTACAAAGCTTTACTTATGCTAACATCTTTCAAATATATTGGTTGGTTTTATGATGAAGAAGATGACATTAACTTTTAATAACAAAAAAGATTCTTCAAGAAGATCTGTCCTCAACCTGGTCTTTCAGGTCTGCTGACTTTATAGTGATAGTTATTTTAAATTCCAATATGCTTAGGAATGGATGCATGCATACATGACGCATGGATACATGGATGGTTGGATGGATGCATGGCTGGCTGGAGAACTGAAGACAATTAGTTGAGATACATGTAGATGACCAATAGGCTATTCAGAACAGGTATGTTCAATCAAACAATCAGAATAGAGCTGGAAGGGACCTTGGAGGTCTTCTAGTCCAGCCCCCTGCTCAAGCTGGAGTCCCTATATCATTTCAGAAAAGTAGCTGTCCAGTCTCTTTTTAAAATCTTTGAGTGTTGGAGCACCCACAACTTTTGAAGGCAAGCTGTTCCACTGGTTAATTGACCTCACTGTTAGGAAGTTTCTCCTTAACTCCAGGTTGCTTCTCTCCTTGATTAGTTTCCAGTTCAGACTTGGATATTTAACTGGGCAAATTATGACTGAGGTGAAGATGGATTTAAATGAAACTAGTTTGGCTATTGAAAAAAAGGTTAGGATGAATTAGATTGATCAGAAAGTAAGGAATGCAGTTCCTAATAGTCCCAGGCAATGTAGCCAACAATAAATTAATCCAAAATATTTGGAAGGTATCAAGATGCTAATTGTTGGATTAGAGAAATACACTTTAGAATTTGATTTGTCTTTCTAATTCTGTTCCATAGGCTAAACAAGTGGGGAACTAACCTCTTCCCTTGGAAGGCTGACATCAAATAAAACACTTAATTCAATGAGCAACTGACAGGAAGAAGACAGCAGAATTTGCACCTGTCATAAAGGAAGGCAAGAAGACATAGTCTAAGGTAGAGTAGAGGTAGATTGGATTTAGTCTGGGTTGTGAAGGTATTTATCATCTGTATTTTATGTACAACAAGAACCTAGAAGTGGACGTGATGCCAAGAAGATCATTCCCATATATACTCTACACATATACAAATATCCCAAGAGCACAATAAATTTTATCACTACTCACGTGTGGTCTCAACCACTGTACTTTTCTCAGTTTCTCTTGTGGAAGCAAATTAAGTCCAATGGAATGACTATTTGCTGGGAATGTATCATCTTCAAAAAGTAGGCCCTTACGCAAGCAGTAGTTTTGCAGTTTAACAAAGTCCTGGTTGTTAAACGGCAAAGGGGAAGCTAGACTTCCTTCAGTTGCTTGATTTTGCTTGAGAAGCAGGTTCTTGTCTTTCTCCTATAATGAGAAAAAGGGAATGGAGAAGAATTTCATTAGCTGACAAATTTAAGAACCGGAGTTCACTGAAAAAAGAGATCACTTCTATATCACCAAATCAAGAGGATTTAGATTTGTCTGAAATGTGTGCACTAATCTTATGCAGAGAAATGTAGAAACAATTAACATTCAAACGGGGGAAAATCAATAGTGGGCGGTTTTTCTAGATTGATTAGGGATTTAACTCAGGGATGGTGACATTGTGGGGATTCAGGACATTTCTGCAGGGTAGTGTCAAGTCAAAGAGGCAAAATTGTCCAGATTCAATAAAGCGAGTTAATATTCACATTAGGATTAAAGTACATACTCTTGGAAATGGTAAGCACTTCCATTTCTAATTTATTAGTGAGTTAATTCAAGCAGAGTTTGTTGGAACATTTCAAATCTAGAATATAGAATAATAGAACTGGAAGGTCTTGAAGTTCTTCTACTCCAACCCTCTGCTCGAGCAGGAAATCCTATACTACTCCAGATAAATGGCTGTCCAGTCTCTTTCTGAAAGCCTCCAGTGATGGAGCACCCACAACTTCTGAAGGCAAGGTATTCCATTGGTCTTTTCTTCCTGTGTTTTTCAGCAGGAGCTACCATTTATAAGATGAGCTATGATTAAATCTCCCTGTTATCTGTGATTGTTTCTGTCTAAATTCTTATTATTTTCCCAATCTCCTGCCAACTATCACAGTTAGAACATGTGTACAGGAGTCCTTATTCCTATTCTCCGTTAGAATGCGGTATTGCAGGCTAATTCTGCCAACTGCCAGCAGTTTGATTCTCACCAGCTCAAGATTGATTAGCCTTCCATCCTTCTGTGGGTGGTAAAATGAGAACCCAGATTGTTGGGCAATATGCTTGACTCTGTAAACCGCTTAGAGAGGGCTGTAATGCACTGTGAAGCAGCATATAAGTCTAAGTGCTATTGCTATTAAATGCCCTGCTAAAGATCATGATTTATAGCAGTTAGACTATAAAAGTATACGGTCCATGATTGAGTGATGTTTATGCCAAATTGGATCTCCTGCACATGGAAAGAAAATCTGGACATTCAATCCACTTGCTTTTGCCCAATAAAAGTGAAACCACTGAGATAATTAACAAGCATTTGATTTGATGAAAATGAATTATGAACCCAACTAAATAATGAACCTATAGAAGATTGCTTTATATAGCTGAGCATTCACACCAACTTCAAAGCTTTACCCAGAGCTTCTGTAAGCCCTTATTTAAGACCTCATTCCATGAACCAGATGGTTGCAGACCTCAAACAACACATTTAGACATAGATTCTTTGCAGATTAATTTTGCATCTTGCAGTAGCTCTCTGCCACAAATATACATTTTCCATTAAATGATTAATTACTTTCTACATTGACTTAAATAAGGAAAGCAGCTCCTTTTTTAAAGATGAAATTGGATGACATTCCAAAATAAGCTTCCACTGACACCAAGAATTAATATTCTTTTCCTGGTTCCATTTCTCCTACAATGGAAATAAATCTTATGTAATGTAGCATAACACGACAAGAGAATGGTTTCCCCTTAACAAATACTCATTTGCAACAGTGCTCAAGTCCCTGCATGCAAAGATCTATTTCTCCTAATGCAGTCCCAGCAAAACTGATGACTAATTCCACAGCCCAAATTAAAACTAACAGAGCTTGAAGACTGGGGTTGACACATGCCCAATCTTTCTTTTCACTCCCTCTTGATGAAGAACAGAAAGAACTTTTAGCACGTGAGCATGTATGCTTAATTACATTGTTTAACACACTGGGAATAATTTAGCAAGTGAAGTGAAAGTGAAGAAGGCATTTCATTCTCCTCTGTGCTGCAAAAGAACCTTGTCAACTACATAAGAAAGGGTGTTGGGGAGACATATGAGCAAATGTCAGAAGCAGTATTCCCTGCCATTTAAAATTTCCTGTTAGAGAAACAGAGGCTGATCACTGGCCAAAGATAGACTTGCGATTGTAGGAAGCTGCTTTTTGTTAGTTTAGCTCATGGGTGTCAAACTTGATCATGTAACATGACATATCGTGATGTATCGTGACGTTTTTTGCCTTTGTGGAGCTGGGGTGGGTGTGGCCTGCACATGACGCATCCAGCCCGTGGGCCACCAGTTTGATACCCCTTGTCTAGCTGGATTAGTACTGTCCACTCTAAGAACACAAGAAGAGCCACAGTGGCTCACATTATAAATCCATCAAGTTACAGCAACCAACAAGCTTGGATATCTTTTTTTTTTACTATATTTTGCAGTGATGACTTTAGAGTGATTATTAGAAGTCACTTAAGACTGCCAATACTTAAATTCAGTCTGAAGATTTTCTAATATTCCCCTCAGATTTCATCAATGAGTTCAGAACATTAATGACTCTTGGTTGTCTGAAAAGATCTGATGCGTGCTGAATTTTGCAAGACAGTTTCAACAAATTAGAAACAGTGCTAGTTATGGCATTGGCAGGTTAATATAAATGATTCACATCATAATACTGAAGTGGAGAACTAAAGCAAAGAGAAGAAGTATCTGTGTTCAATTCCTCCATGACAGTAGTTACTAAGCCTGGGCAGATCTTTGAGGATACTTTGCTTCGCTGGAGATCTGAATGAAGTGGCTTTATTGAAAAGATGAACATCAGATTTTCTTTGCTGAAGGTGTAACAAAATTGTGAGTCATGTGAACATCTGGTATCTTTTTGTAGTGGTATTTTCATGTTTATAAGACGGTTTATGCAAAGCTATTTGTCTCACCAATCCCATGAGCCCATCTCTGAGACTTGGCCATCTCATCTATTTCCTTGTCCATTTAAAAAAAGTCATCAGACAAGAATGTGACTAATTAGAATAATAGGAGAAAGTCTCCAGTGTGGTAACTGGCAAGTTTCTCAAAAGGTGAAAGTGTGATTATGAAGCATTGCATTCCAATTATGCTTGTATACATCTATTCATATCATCTCTAAATGCCATAATTACTCATATCTCATCTCTTTGCTCACATATAGTTGTATCCTGCTGGAATGCCATCTGTTCTATAGTGGGGATTTTTAGATAGTAGTATCTCAGAAAATGACTGAAAACTTGCTTCAGTAATTAAGTTATATAACTTAATCTCTCTCTCTTTTAATTCCTGGACAAGATTGTTTTGAAGACTTTAAATCTGAAGAACCCATTAGAGCTAAGTGGGACGAAAGAAACTTTTGGGATAATTGATAGTAGTTGTGAAAATTATGAATTGAAAGCAAATCTGAGAAACAATTTGAAAGCCATACACGAATGGGCTGAAGGAACAGATGAACAGTGGTTAGATTGTGCAACCAGGTCCATAGCCATTTAATGATACTATAGTGCACATTTTTCCATTTTTAATAGGCTCTCATTCAACACTGCATTCCTCTGATTAATTAAACTGATTATTCTATTACTAAAGATTTGTTTTCTTAATGGGTGTTTGCTTTGGCCACTAAAACCTGAGTGGAACATGATGATGAAGCATGCAAGAGGTGTGCTTTTCATTTGTTTGGAGTTTAAATGGGGTTACTAACTTGAGTACATTAAGCCTAGCATAGGATTATCACAATTATTTTTCTGATAATTTTCTTCCTGCTTCTGAATCTAAACTTGGGCAGAAAACTGAGGCAGCACAAAGGTCACTTATTCATGGTCTTCCCCATTATGTAAGCATGTACTGCATTTCTATTCACATAGAAGTTTTTACATACGAAATCTATATCCATATCCATAAATGAGTATATGTCTATTTCAAGCAACCTGGGTTTCTTTCTCTCTTCTTTTATGATGATACATTTTAATTTCTTTAGTGATGCAAAAGATCACATGACACTGGCCTGCAGCTGGCTACCTTTGCCTGCAGCTGGCTAATTATTTTCCACGACAGAATAAATTAGGAACATCCATATGTCATCATGATTTATCCACCATGGTGGGGAAAATTGAATTAACCAATTGAGGAAAAATTTGTAAAATAAAAAGAACATGGAGGAAGACATGTTGAATCCTAAGAACTTCACATTGGATCACTGAGACTCAAGCCACCCCAACAAGGGACCCACATCCACAGACGTGAAATAGCTATGCGGTTTCCTGGCCAGTTATAAAAAACACTTGGAAGGACCACCATAATGATTGCTACCACCACAGGTCTAAAAGAATTTTTTTTTTTAATCCATGATTCTGCTTTGTACCAGTTTTAGGAGACTTAGGCATGAAGTCTGGAAATTGATGAGGGATTAACACAAAAAATAAAATATGAATCAGCAGGCCATTCAGCAGGAAGCAGTACAGCAGGGGTGTCAAACTGCCGGCCCACAGGCCAGATACGTCATAGCAAAACTGTGCCCACCCCATTGGTGGCAATGGAAAAAAAGTTGTGATACGTCACGACACATCACGTGACATTGCGAGTTTCACACCCCTGCAGTACAGTGTGAAGCTTTGTTTTGTAGCCTCAGTTTCCTCCTGACACAGACTTCTGCCAATTGCTGAATTGCACCAGACCTTGCTTTCATCTGGGTCCTTCTGTGCAGCCCCATAAACAGAGGCCTTTCTACTATTTTGTAACCTGGAAAAGTGACTACCTAGTGATTTACACTATAGAAGACTCAGATCCCACCCTCTTAGCCCAGAGGTTTTCTTTTTTATTATTATAGAAAAGAAATGGCTTTCTTTGATCATTCTTTTTATTTAAAAAAAGGAAGGTTTGCACAGTTTCAATCTGAATTTATTCAATGGCTATCCTGAGAATACTTATTACTGTTTCTGCTGCTTCTATAATGAATAAATAGCTACACCACGAACTGCCTCCTCTTTCTTTAAAGCTGACATTGTTATTGTCATCATCATTTTCATTTTGAAACTTAGTATTTGCTCCTACATTTTTTGCTACCAAGAACAGATACTATGCTTGCTTAGATACCATATATATTATATAATGCAAAAAGAAAGGC